ATATATATATGTATATATATATATATATATATATATATATACATGGTACTGATACATGTGTATCCTCACAATTTTCTACCATCTGAAGTAGTTCAGAGTCAGCTATAAGTCTTATAAAATCTGAGAGAATGATTTACTTCTACGGTTGTTTTGGTATTAGCTTCTATCAGCTATGCATACTGAGCTGCCCCTGTCATACATACTGAATAGACGCAATTAGTAATACTATATCACCATCTACGTTGTTTTGTCTGCTTAATTGTAGTATACCGTCTCAACTACTTGTTCATATACAACTCACATGGTGTATCTAATATGTTTTATTGTCCCAGAGCTCGGCGCAGAAGTAATCAAAATAGAAGCACCTCGTGGCGACCCTTTCCGCGATACACTGCTCACCTTTGAAAAGCCTCGCAAGCACTCGACCATCTTCGAGGCAAGCAATTTCGGGAAACTGTCGCTGGAATTGGATGTGAAACAAGCGAAAGATGTTGAGAAACTGCTGAAACTTTTGGAAACGGCCGATGTATTGGTCACAAATACCCGTCCGTCTGCCCTGAAACGATTGGGGTTGGACTACGACACTATTAAGGACAACTTTCCGCATATTGTGTATGCACAAGTGTCCGCCTGGGGCTTTGAAGGGCCAGATGCCGAACTGGCGGGTATGTTAAACATCATGTATTTTTCGCTTTGTGAGTGTCTCACAAAGTAGGATAGTGTGGTGCAGGCTTGTTTGTGTTGGGAAAAAGATCTCCAATTGTATTGTAGCTTTTCATATACGCTTGCATTCGCGGTAATCCATCACACCAATGGGCCCACCCCCCAATCTCTATAGCCAAGGCTGTCTCTCCATAGTAACACTCTCCACATCCTACCGCACTTCTCACAGGCTACGACATAGGCGCATTCTTCTCCGGCACAGGGGTGAGTACAAGCATGCAGGAGGCAGGCTACTACAGTGCCTATGTAGGTGGCTTTGGCGACCTCACCGCAGGGCAATCGCTGATGAGTGGTGTGTCGATGGGCCTTGCCAACCGGATCAAAACAGGACGGGGTATCTTCACTAGCACCACCTTACTACGCAATGGCCTGTGGTGTATCTCTCCGCATATTGCTCGGGCTTCGGGGCGTGCGGATGTCATTCGAGATGGAGATGTACCGGATTACGAACGCAAACCCGAATCCCATGCACTGGACCGGTACTACAGGACAAAGGATGCGAGATCGATCATGCTATCCAGCGCTGGTCGTGACTCGCAGTATAGTGCGGACCTTATCAACGCCTTCAAGGAATTGGTGCAGGTGCTTCTGACAAATGGGGCAAATGCTGAGTCCGAAAACGTCGGAGAGGTGCTGCAACGGGTAGAAGAAGGGGGTGGTATTTTGACACGTGTGATTTTAATTGATTTGTTCGAGGCAGTAGATTGTCATGCAATAACCGAGCTGTTTGTGCAACACGGCGTGGACTGTGAGATTGCTGAACCTGTGCTTAAAATCGCTGAACTTAAACCAGGCTCGCGCGCGGGTGTAGAGACGGTGTATCAATACTTTGAAGGGACACACATGGAGGACTGCGGGGGTATGTCCAAAGCGATGAAGGTGCCCTATACCTTCAGTTGCAGCGACAAGCACAGGATTCAGAATAGAGCTCCGCTTAAGGGTCAGCACACACAGACGTTGCTCGCACATGGGTGGTCGGATGTTCACGAGAAGGCTCGTCTACCCATATCAGAGCCTGGCATAGTCCGAGAGAAGAAAGCCCAGGCAGTAGTAAATACACGGGCACGAGACGCGCGCAGGGACTCGGGCTTTGTTTCTGGCGACGACATACTGTACGACGAGGAAGCCGGTTTGCATACAGACAACCCAGCAGTACCCACAAACTGGGGGCAGAGCGTCGACCATATGGACTTGCTACATGACGGTGTTGTTGTTGAGCTGTGTACGGCTTCCAGACACGTGCATGTGAGCGGGGCCACGTGTATGATGGCTGACTTTGGCGCCACTGTGGTCAAGGTAGAATGCAGTGCCGCTGACTCGGAGACAGCTCAGCGCGGTGGGGCCAATGGTCCCTGGCCATTCTCACTGCGAGATGAGGATCCGTTGACATTCGCCCAGGTGAACAGAGGCAAGAAGAGTGTAGCACTCGATTTGGAGAGAGCGGCAGATCAGCAACGGCTCGCAGGCTTGCTTGCGACTGCTAGTATCTTCATCACAGACTACAGCGCAACGGATCTCGAACGTCTCAGCATATCCCCAACGCAGCTCAGACAGACATCCCCTCAGCTTATCGTCGTGCATGTGACGCCGTATCCAGAAGAAGATCCACGATCAACCAACTCCTACCTGTCCAGTGGTACAGCCCTGTATGCTGCTTCTGGGCTGTCCAGTCTCTTCTCAGGGAGGACTGAGAAAGTACACCATCAGCCTGCACCGTATATGCTCGATCTGCTGGCGTCTCAGTTTGTGCTGAGTGCGACCATGGCTGCCCTCTTCCACAGTGTTAGGACCGGTGAGGGCCAGATCGTCGCAACCAATCTGTGGCATATCGGATGCTGGCTCGGTACGGTACCCAATGTATGGATGGACTTTAATCGAGAGTGGGCGGATATGGTGATGTACGATCCTGCGAGTGTTCGCTATGACTGCCCTCTGGCAACGTTTCAGGCCTACAAGACTAAGGATGGTATGTGGGTGGAGCTATTGGGGCTGGACACTAAGCGACATCTACCCATTGCCTTGCGTGCACTGGGGATTAGACTGCCGGTGTTCGGGAGTGTTCTGTGGGCGGCCATAGCGAAAGTACTGCCGAATCGGAAAGAAAAGGTACTTCTCCATCGGGTCAAGCCCATCTTCGCAGCCATCAACAAGAGCCTTGAGACCGCCATTCTGACCTACGAATGGCATGATCTGCACACCCTGTTCTTAAAGCACGACGTATGGCACAACCCGGTGCGCATCCCGGAGCAGTTGCTGACGTACAGCCAGGCACACGCCATTGGCTCCTATGTGCACAACAGAGATGACTCATCGCAGCTGTTCGTGGCCACCCCATTGAATATGTCGAGCAAGGTGGAGCATGCTACGTACAAGTGCCAGCACATTGCACCCGTGCCTAAACTGGGGGAGCACACGGATGTATTCCTAACCCCGACAAGCGGAGTTTGACAGTCGAACTTGTCCTCGATAGGCGGGTATCAAAACTTTTAACCCGCGTTGTTGATCGCGGAACCTATTGCACATATATAATTATCGATCTATGTACCAGCGCATTGTCTCCCATAGCAGTACCATATCACCAATAAATACGCTAACCCAACTTTCATCTTGTTATAGGTCAAACAGTATATACAGTTTCTTTTGTTTTGCAGTAAAGATAATTTTATACCGATTTTACATAAACAAAGCCTCCCAATTTTCCCGTGACAATCATACCGTTGGAATTTATGCGCCAATTCCGTGTGCTCTTCCTAGGTAAGAAGCACATCGCCATATGCAACTCATACGTATTCGACGCGATGGCACAACCATCACTGCCGAATGTGATACAGCACGTGCGGAATGCCACACATACGCCACCACAATTGAGCCTCTCGCGCTGCGACAAGCATGTCACCAGAGTCTTCGGTCCGGTCGATATCGACAAGTCTGCAGTAAGTACAGCGCTTAGGTTCCTACCTACTGTACCAACAACCACACAGACTATAACGCCTCTCTTCACGAAGCGTACAGGTAACACTGGCATCAACCCACCAAGTACCTCTACGGTAACCAACCCTGGATAGACTTCTCCCGGAATACCGGTAAGCTCGAAAACAACAACAGGCGAATGCTCTGACAAAACCCATCTTCATTCCATCGCCTAGCTCATTCACCGCCAAGCTGACAGTACATAGGACTCTGTAACCACTGCCAACTGGGTTTTCAGCGGCGCCGCTCTATTAGGTCTAAAATCATACGCTATCCCTATCCCTCCTGCTCATTAGTCCGCCATTGACGTCAGTTTACTGCACACTGACATACCTGTTTCCGCATGCATCTCCTGTGCCACAGACAAAATGTACAAAATGCACCTACCGAGTGCCCTCATCGCCAAAGGTGACAAACGGCATGTTGACCTTGCGGAGAAAAATTGAACAAAACTACAGCGGCCATACCTACACCATCTGATACATCGAGCGACGCACGGTTCTCGGACACCAGGAACACCTTTGTCTTAAAAGCGACGCCCGCTTTACCTTGGCCGGTTTTACACATTTATCGAAACCAACGGCCGCTTCCTCTACGCACCACTATTGCCGATGCGGTGGCGAATTCGTTGCCTCTAAGTTACAACTCTTAGAGAACTTCTACAATGCCACTGCCGACTCAGCTAAGCATGATCGTATTGAACGCACTCACCAGACGAGAAGGAATATAGCTCGCTGCATGGGCTGAAGCTAAATCTCACGCCTCTCCCATCTGAAACATATCCCCCCCCCCCCGGGCTTGCAGCCCCGACAAAATGAGCCCATACGAGGCCTTCTTCGTTCGCCCGGTAACCGACTCCGCCCACGGTCTCCGAGTCTACGGGTGTATGGCGCGTGTACCTACGATTATTGACGTACCCGCCTGGCTCCTCGGTTGTAACTTCGTTCAAGCAAAGCCCTTGAACACTCTGATATCCCCACGGCCCACCCAGTCAACACGCCACTGCCTACCTTTTTCCTCGAAGTCAACATTAGTTTACCCTACGCTGCCCCTACCGCGAGCTAATTTACACCCTGTCATACCTCTCGATCCTCACTCGTATCGATATTATATTCACTGTCAAAAATCTTTTACGCTTCCTGGCTAATCCTAGTGAGACACTTTTGCTCGCCGCCTGCCATGTTCTCCCTTGCCTCAAGACTGACCTCACTCTCGGTCTTACATAAAGCAAATCTGATCAACAAACACTCGTTAATGATGCAAGCGCCGATTCCAGTATGGCAGTTGTCTCACAATACGTGATCTCTGTATGCGGTACCCCTGGTATTTGAAAGTGCAAACGAAAAGAGACTGCAAAAGCTAAAACCGTTGAACCCATATACTTCGCCGCCCCGAACTTGGCTTCACCCCCGATTTCCCTAGCAGCCATAACTGTGACAACCAAACTAGAGTTCACGTGATCACAAACAATGGCACACCCAAACAACTCAACATGCCGACATCCATGTACATCACATTTGCGATCTCCAGGAACAAGGCGATGTTGTCACCAAATATGTCTACACCGCTGATAGCATCGCTGCCAATCTCTCTAAGAATCTACCTTGTTCAGTACACTTCCAAGATACGTCCAAAACGTTGACAACCATCTCCGACCTGATCACGTTCTCCTAGTCGCAGCGGCTACCCATTCATCAGATCCTCCGCATACACGTCTCACGCAGTGCTGCAATGTATATGCTATCTCCAATACACTTCCCAAACAAAACCTATACTATAGGACCAGGGTCTATGTACAGAAACGGTACATCATGTATAGTGACTTATTACCATTGTTAAAACATAGCAAGTCATGAACTATACATATTAGTGGTAGGCTAACTTATACATCCATCTGAATGCTATCTTATAAGATCAGGGGATGTATTGTCATGTTAAAATGTATTTTACCCCCTTCCCCAAGTCTTGTTCACAAATTATAGCTTGCGAACATATCTGGGCTAATTGAAAATTAGCGACCAAGTTGTAATATTTCCGACACCGTAATACTGCTAGTCGTGCTAGTGGGTCGTATATCAAATTTTCTCCCCCCACCCATACAAGCAGAGCTGGTGTTGTTTATAGTATATAGCACTCTTTATTTCTATTTATGTTTATTCTCCAAATAACCAATAGGATGTTTAATGACAGAGATATCTACTATAAAAACAAATCAAAAAATTTAAACTCTCCGACTAAATATGGACAAATTTTTAATGAAAAATCACACAGTGATAATGCCGTTCGCTTGGGTACATGACAAGTGATCGAAAATGCCATTTTATTTATATATTTTGAAGGCCTGACTTGTTTTGCTGGAAGTCTTTGCACATGCTGCAAGGGCTCATCAATCTATTGGTTATTGGGTTTCCTTTGATGAACTATATTATACACAAGTGTGTGTGCAATTATTTGGCAGGGTGGGTGAGGATGACGAATTTAAACAAGTGGGTTTGCTAAAATGCTTGGTTCTAGTGTGTCTGGTACCGCTGTGTGTTGCAGTTCTTAAAAATACTGCGTTTATACGGTGCCTTTAACCTACAGTACCAATGTAACCCTATCCGACTGCCCGTTTAATAACCTAGTCCCGTGGTGCGGGCTCGAAAGCCGGGGCCTTTTTTCAAGACCGATTTGTTTTCAACTACTATACAGTTACACCGTAGCCACAATGAAAATCTGACTTTGTTTGCTGGACGTTGACGTCTTCGGTGGGCAACGCATGACTGAGGGACGCGACGTCCTCAGCCGTGGTCCACCGAAGCTCGGACAAGCCCTTCGCGAATGCATGTTGCGAGGGCTCATTAACTTATTGATTATTGAGTTTCCTTTGATGAACTATATTATATACAAGTGTGTGTGCAATTATCTGGCAGGGTGGGTGGTGATGACGAATTTAAATAAGTGGGTTTGCCAAAATGGCTGTTCTAGTGTGTCTAATATCGTTGTGTTGCGGTTCTTAAATACTGCCTTTCTACAGCGCCTTTAACCTACACTACTAATGCAACTCTATCCGGCAACCCGTTTGTAATTACCAAACCCTGTATTATTTTCAAAAACAGATTTGTTTTCAACTATTATACAGCTACACCATAACCACAAAAAAGAAAACCCATACGTTTTCTTTTCGTACATGACAAACATTTCTACGATGTATTTTCTTCTTTTTAGCACATTTTTAGTAGCGAGACCTTTTTTTTTTTTGGCCTACACGTCTAGGTCGTTAACGTAATGAAGCCTCTGTCCATCGCAAGGAAAAAGGTCGCCGGGCCACGGCCCTCTGGATAGCGTTGCGGTCAAAGGCAATTCGGGGCAAATGGCAATTTTCCCTGACACAGGCCTGGTGACTCTTTGTCTGATACAAAGTTCTATGGGTCGTTTGTGCCTCATCAATTTATTGGTGAACACTTTATTCTTCATTAATGTACCGGTATTTTTTGGTGAATGACTCTATTTAGTGTGTACAGACGAATAGTATTGATGGGATACCAATTGTCACTTATATGGAACTATGTAATTTTTAGTACGGTCATAGTACACATGTGTGTTATACACTGTTCACTGTGTGTGTTTAAGTTATACCGCTGTTACTATAGCAGTTGTGCTATTCTGTAAGTTGACTGAACAGCCGGTGATAATCTCTGTCTTCGGGCAGACTAGTGTAGCTTTGGGCGGGTTATTGAAGCTCGCCCAAAGCCGTTTTATAAGAGTGTTTACAAAACTTCAACATCGAATATCTATGTATACAGTCAACTTATCTTTTGTTTATTCCTTTGTTGATGTGATGGGTGATGATAGTGTTCTGAAAGAGATATGTACGGCTTTCATGATACACTGATAGAAGGTTGCATGGTATGCGGTTTAGACCCCATACCACAGGACGCAAGAGGCTCACTGATACACTTGTAGACAAGTTTGGCATACCAGATGCAAGCCAAAGTGCGCGACATGAAACGGTTATTCACTTGATGAGAAGTTAACCAAGGATAAGTTTGGCATTACTTATATCGATCAGTATATCATAGTCACAAGAGGTTGTTGTTACACACGCCTCCCCAGAATTTCGTGTGTAGACCAGTGTAAACATCTGCGATATAAACCGCTGTTCATGCCATTGAAAAAATACATAATCCACTTCGCCACGTCTCAACATCATATTATAAACGTATGAATGTTCGAAACTCCTACGTACCACCCCCTTGCCCTTATACTAAGGATACTCGACCACACGATAGTATTACAACATCAAACTATAAACGACATAATGTAAAACCTGTCCCTTACACTAAGAATGCCTAGTTGTATGATCGATGGATGCTAGGGGGAAGTGGGAAGCACGGGAACGTTACTAAGGTGAGGCAGTTCTCTCCGTTAAGTGTTTACTGGGTTTCAGTGTTCCAGCACGTTTGTACTTACTACTTATTTCAGAACTACAGGCGACCCGCTGTCATTAGGTGTTTATCTTGTATATTGATTTCTGTGGAAATTTTGTATGTGTTCACACTTTTGTTTATTTGTATACGATTTAAGTTGTAGGATTCGAAACTTTGAAGTTCGGTAGTAATTCAAGTATTTTGAATCTGACAAGGAGCGTGTACTATGCATACAGTCTGAAAGCCTTCTTAAGGGTCTCAGGTGAGGAGTAAGTTTGCTCCAGGGCTACTCTCCAGAGTATAGAGGTATGCCACGGTTCTTTATGTAAAAATACTGAGGTGTAATCTGTAACATTGAGTTTGGAAGAAACTATAACAAGGTTGTTGTCTAGTGCAAGCCATAATGTGGAGTAATTTCAAGTTGTACTTAAAACTTTAAACTCAATTGGAATCACTTTCATCAATAGGTTTGTTCAAGTTAGGTTTATAGCATAGTGAGAGAAACTACTATATAAACTGGATAAGTTGTAGGGATAACTTCTAGTCTACAACTTTGTTAGAGTGTAAGATGGTAGTCTTTGAATAAAGCGTAATTGTATATCTTTATTTACAACCTCACCTTTGGTTTTATACTCAAGGTGTTTGTGCTAGTGTTCAATCGCTTGGGTTGGCCAGGGTGAAAACTCATATGGTCAGTATGAGAAACCTTTTGCAGAACACTTTAACACTTAGATATTGTTCTATAGCATAATCTCTGCTACTCGCTCTTACGCCGATCAATTAATATTGCTTGGCTTTCAGAGCAATTCTCTCCTAGGTATCGGCTTTCGGAGCAATGCTCTCATAGGAACAAATGTATTATTAACATGATGTGGTTAATAATTTGATCCGCTTTTCGGAGTGACGCAACTCTTGTGATTTCATTCAAGAAAAAGAGTTTTCTTGCTATTGAAACTTGCTTGGGATCTGTAGTCTCTCAAACTTGTCTAATGAACTTTGCAATAAAGAAGGTTTTTACTGCTAAAAGAGCAGTTTTCCTTTCTACTACGGAGTAATCAAAATTTGCACCAAGGCTCATTACATTCATTTAATTTTATTTAATTTGTAAAAGTCGGTCTCCTCTAGGCTGACTATACGATACCAAGACGTTTACGTTATTAAGACAATACGTTAAAACGTTAAAATGCAAAATGATAAAAAATATGTTTAGCTTCAGCCTTT